ATACATAGCCAGTGGCCTGACAATTGGAACATTTTGACCAAACCTAAGAGATGGAGGTTCAAGCTCTCTTTGAGAGCCTAGATTTTAGGTCTACCCCTTGCTAGGCACAAAGCCTAACCACTAGCTAGGGTGCTTGTATATGAAATGTCACAATGTACACATGACAAAAATTTCCCTTTGTGTAACTTACCGGCATCACCCATTATACGCACATGAGTTATAGGAGTTTTAAATGAGTTTGCATTGTTGCAAACTAAACCACATCCTGATGTAGTTTTTACAATGTTGTGACTTGGCACGTTAGAGCCATTAGTCAGCTCACCCGCTGAGGCCACAGGAGAGGCTGGCAGGCTCTCCAGAAAAAAAGGATCAGGCAGCTCACTGCTACTTCCTTTGGCAGGCTCCTGCAAACTGCAAACTCTTTCCAAACTGTCCATCCTTTCCAAACTTTTCCATCCTTCTTGAAGTGTTGGGCCCAAAACTGGACACATACTCCAGGGGAGGCCTCGCTAGTGCTCAATGCAGCAGAAGAATCACTTCTCCTGATTTCCACATGACACTCCTGTTAATGTAACCCAAGATGCTGTTGGGCTTCTTTGCGACAAGAACACACTGTTGGCCAATATTCAGCATATGGTCTGCTGTAGCCCACAACCCTTTCTTTACAGTACTGTAGCCTAGCCAGTCATTCCCCAGTCTTTATCTGTGAGTGCAATTCTTCCGTCCATCTCAAGTCCAGGACTTTGCACTTGTTCTGGCTGATTGGAAAAAATGATTTGCAATCTACCCAGGTCATTCTTAGCCCTACCCTCCAGAGTGTCTGCAACTCTATCCACTGGTGTTATCTACAAATTTTCTAAGCATACACCCCATCCCATCATCTAAATCATTAATAAATATATTAAACAATATTTGACCCAGGACAGACTGGTGGGGAACCCCAACTGATATCTCCTTCCAACTAGATATAGACATTGATAACAATTCATGGAGCATGATGATTCAGAAATGAATCTGTGCAATGTTAGCATTGTTAGGCAGGCAATTGTGATTCACAAGATAAACCCAGAGCTGTCAAGTAGGAATCCATTGTGTAAAAACATTCTGACTTGCTGGGATCTTTCAAAGTAATTGGCAACAGGAAAAAAAACAAAAACAATAATGCTCTATTTGTTTTTCCATAATCAAAAAAAACCAAACAAAAATCAAAAACAAAAAAAGCCTCAGTGAAAAACTTAAAAGTTGTGAGAAGCAAAGATTTCTTAGGGTGATATCTTTTATTGGACCAACTATGTAGTTGGGATAGAGTTCAACAAGTTCTTGAATGCAAGATATTCTTCCTCAGGTCTCAGTGAGGAATGTCTTACATTCCAAAGTTTGTCTAGCTCTCTCCCAACTACATAGTTGGTCCAATAAATGCTATCACCCTAAGATATCCTTGTCTCTTGTATCATTTCTGGACCATCATGGCCCCATAATTCTTGTCTTTTATCTTCAAAGTTAGCATTTCCTGAGGGAGGCCTCAAGTCTAAAAAGGTTGAGAACCACTGCTCCAGGCACAACGTGGGAAGGTAACTAGGAAAGAAAAGAAGCCAGAGGTAGTTAGCCAAGTTAGTCTGAAGACAGGGGAGAGATGTACCTTTAGAGCACCTGTACACATCTGTTTACCACTTAGTGCTAAGTAGTATTCATTGGAGCAGACTTGATTGAGTCTGCTGGAGCAGTTACTTAATGCACTCCAGCAGCTTCTGTATCATGTCTATTCAGTGTGCCCCTGCTTCAAAATGGCAGTGGGGGTGCTTGAACTAAACCTTGTTTCACCACTTTGAGTGCAGCACGCTGAAGACATGTGATGCTGTGGGTGCCTTAATTAGAGCGGCTCCTGTCCTGGAGCTGCTCTAATTAAAGCCCACCCCCTCCACCGGAGGAGGAAGTGTGTAATTCCCTTACAGACTAACTAAGGGCCTGGTTACATGTTGAACTTTATGCTATTTAAATGTTGATTCACGTTAATAGTAGTTTGAGTTTGAAGCAGTCACATCTTCAGGCTAAAAACCTTCTCTTAGTGTCCCCCACCTGCACAGCTGTGACTTGCTACTAGAGGGCTGGCAAGCAGGGGCCTGACTAAGGAGGTCCAGCTGTGAGTTGCCAGGACAGGGCTGGTGAGCAAGAGGGGGAGATGAGTTGGAGTGGGGCAGGAACCTGAAGCTGTGAGATGGAGAATTAATGGAATGGGGGTGCATAATGAAG